GCCCAGGAGGTGGAGGTTGCTGTGAGCTGAGATCACACCACTGCACTCCTGCCTGGGCAATGCAGTGAGACTCTGTCTCAAAAGAAAAAGGGGGGGAGAAAAAAACCCATTGTGAATCCTTTTGTGAATAGTAACATTCTAAGTCCCTATTCAAATTGAACTTCCGTATGCTGGGCTCACTTTCAGCGGGGCTGTGTGCATTTAATCAACAAGAGATCTTGAAAATTCCTACGTGTGTGTCAGGTTGATAATGCCAACACTCATAGTGCCAATTGCAATGAAACACCAAACCCCTGCCCCGGCCACAGGCATTGGCTGACTGCCTGCAACTGTGTTAGGCCGCGGGACAGGGCCCTGGGCGTCTGTGAGCTGGATGGAGCGCCCTGGGTGGCCGGCCCTCTGCTCTGCACGGCTGTGTCAGCCTCACGGCACCAACGTGAAGTGGTCCCATTGCACAGATGTGGAAATAAAGGCTCCAATTCATGTATTGCAATGAATAATCCAGAAAATGCTCAATACCACAGAGCCCACGTTCTAACGAGGACATGACCGTCCTAAGTCAGTAAATGAATAAGTCCGCACCGGGGTGGGAAGGGGGCTGTGATGTCATTCCCAAGCCCGACCCCCATGATAAGGGAATCTGAGGGACACAGTCCCTGCCCTTGGGGGTGGCATGTGTCCTGTAGTGGGGACCACTGGGCAACATGGGGCAGTGTGAGATGGTGTGGGCCACCGAGAGGGCAAGGACAGGTCATCATGTGCTGGGAAACATGGGAAAGGCTGGAAATAGGAGGTGGAGTTTCAGCTACACTTTAAATTGCCATCGATTCTTGCCCAACTCTTCTTGGAAATGCTGAGAAATGGAATTTTCTTGTCCCACTGTCCAGTTCTTTGGGCAGATTTTTTTTTTAAGTTTCTTTTCTCCCTCCCTCCTTTTCCCTCTTCCTTTGTTTTTTCTGTCCTTCCTAACCTCCTAGCCCCCTTCCTTCCTCTCCCTTCCTCCTTTTCATTCCTAAAATGGAAGCACTAACAGGAACCATACCTATAGCTGGGAATCATGTGCACATGGGGTGTTAGGGCCACTGTCCCCCAGACCCCACACGGAGCTTTCTCCAGGTGCTCGTGCAATCTGAGCACCAGCCGTGGTGGCCAGAACAAAGTCAGGTGGGGGGACCGTTGTCCTGTTTGCCTCCCCAGGGGACGCCGTGACTCTATCTGACCCACAACCAGAAACAATCACAGGGCACCTAATCTTTCCAGTCCCACCCAGACCAGGGATCATCGTACCCAGTCCGTGGATTAGGAAATGCGCTTGCATTAAATGATATGTGCCTTGTCTGTGGTTGGTGAGTGGTTGGACAGGGGCTGGACTTCAGACCCTCAGTTTTAGTGGTGACTCCAGGCTGCCAGCCAGTGGCTCATGAGGCTGGCAAATGTATGTCATCGCTCCAGTCCCAAAAGGAAAAAGAAAACCCTTGGAAATCTGGCATCTGCATAGAAAGTGGATGTGCATGTAAGTCCACGTGCACACACCGTCAGAGTTGGCTCCCAGGATCAGCAGCGGCTGCAACACTAGGATCTTATAGAAACACAGATGCCCAGAGCAGGGGCGGGCACACCGGCTGTGGCTAACACATCCTCTGGGACTTCTGGTGACACTCAAGGTTGAGAAGCGCTGATTTGGGCCAAAAAAAGAATGTCTTCTACTCAAGGGGTGTAGCCACAAAGAAGGGTCTGCTCCCTCCCTTGGGCGTCGGGGGACCACCTGGTGCCAGTTATACCCCAATATGCCCCTCTGGCTCGAGGATGCAAGTGATCTATTCCTCAGCTCTGTGCTCTGGACTAGGCTACACAAACCCAGACCTGAGCAGGACACTTGGCCCTCGCCCAAGAGAGCGCAGCAGGCAGCAAGCCCCTGGCAGGATTGGCAGGGTGTGCAGGGTCCGGGGCAGCAAGGCGCTTGAGAGAGTTAGCGCCTTGGGCTGTGACCTGCACCGTGGCTGTGAGGAGAGCACAGCGCCCCAGGCGGGGAGGAGCCCAAGCAAAGGCCCCAGGGCAGGGGAGCTCACCAGATGTGGCTCGGCCAGCAGGGAGAGGCAGGTCATTGGGGCCTTGGAGGCCACTTTTTGAGCACCTTCTGCCTGTGGGGAGGGCTCCTTGGGGACACTGTACTTGGGGTTCCATTCTGATCTGCTGGACTCAGGTCACTTGCCAGCCCTGGGAAGACAGGGACACCAGGCTGATCTCATAGGCCACCCAGCTGCACCTGGGTGCTGTCTATCTGGGGCTGACCTGCCCCTCTCCACCTTCCTCAGCTCTGCCTTCCTGCTTGGTATAAAACAGTGCAGGATGTTCTGCTGGGCTGGGAGCCTCGGCCTATTTGAAGTTGGGCAGTCACTCTCTCTCTGAGAAGAGTGTCCTTGTGCCCTGGTTGCTGTGGGAGCAGGTGAGGCAATTAGATGAATGCCAGGGTGAAGTGCCCAGCGTGGCTCTATCTCTTCCTGCTTCATCCTGGCTGGGGCCTTGGGCAGGTCACTTGGCCACGCGGAAGCATTTGCTCATCTACACCTGGGCAGGCCACTCTTCCGGGGGCATGAGGATCAAATTCGGAGTGGATCAAGTGTATCCAGCAGAGCTTCCCAGGTGTGAGCATGGGATGGGTTCACATCTCCTGGGGCCTCTTATGAGGCTGGTGGGACTCAGCAGGTCTGGGTAGGGCTGAAGGTTTGTGTTTGTGACCAGCTCCCAGGGGGACTGCAGCCAATGTCGATCCTTAGCTAGGCATTCCTGGGCTTGCCATTGTCCAGAGTTGCTAGGTGACAGGCAGGCAGTGGGGCATAGGACCCTCTGTGGAGGGACAGGCTTCTGCCGATTGTTCAGAAGCTAGAAGTTCACGGCTTTCATGTGAAAGCTCTTGATTTTTAAATATTGGACTGGATTTGCACACACACACACACCCCTGCACACCTAGTCAGGGTGGGCAGCACATCTGTACGCTGGACTCAGCCTAGGGGCCAAGTTGGCTAATGTCTGCTGCACCCGTGATGGATTTTCTCCCTGGCAGCCGCGCTGTTTTTCCATCTCCTTCAGGGTTTATGTGTTCCTCTCGTCTGCCTGAATCGGCCTCACCGTTCTCAAGTGTTCTGCCTCCTCCGTCTGTAAGACCAAGCCTGATTCGTACCCCTCTTCCCCCACTACTGGCAAAGCTCACCTTCTTCCCACCTGTGGCATAGACTGGTGAAGACCTGGACCGTTATTATTGGGTGACTTTGGAGGGTAGAGTGGTGGGACAGACTGTGGAGCCAATCTGCTGCGTTGAATCCCGCTCTGTCCTGTGTGACCTTGAGCAGGCAGCTTAACTCCTCGGGCCTTGGTGTCCCCAACCGCAGTGGGAGACACTGGTGGGGGGGGGCGTGGTCCTGGCGGAAACTCTTGAAGTAATTACGGTTTCAGTCCCAGACTGTTAGAAACTCTTGCAGTATTTACGGTTTCAGTCCCAACTTCCTAGCGTTTGCCTCCCCAGGGTGAATTCAGCTCCATTGCTGTTTGGACGAGTGTTAGGAGCCTGCCACCACCGACCTTCTGTGCTTGGTCACTTTTGCATGTTTCTTACGTTTGCGTCTGCCTCCTGCACCCACAGCAGGGGCTGCGAATCTGCCCTGGCGTTTCCCTTGGTGCTCAGCGTGGTGCCTTCATCAGAACTGGTGCCCAGGACTGGTTGAGTGAAACCATCCCAGGGTTATTTATATGCCCCTTCTCTTTGCTCCTACGACAGTACCCAATACCCAGGAAAACATTATGGGGTTAATGCTGCACCTGCATGACCACGGTGAACAGAGGTCAGCGTGGCCACACACATATGCACATGCACACGCACACGCACATGTCAGGTTCCTTGTGTAAATTCGGGTCTGCCACTGAGCCCGTTCTTAGTTTGTCTTCTGTTTTTTGGGCATTTCTTCTCTGCTGTTTTTCTATTAATTGTAGTTCAAAGAACTCTCCTGTGTCTGTCTGCTGCTAGTATTTTCCTCATATCTGTCTTCGTTTGTTACATTTTTTGAGGCATAATTTACAAACAGGATACGGGGTGACCCTGAGAGATCGGGGGGCAGGTGCTGCTGCCCCCAGAGCCACTCACGGGGCTTGAGTCTCTGCATACCTGGGGACCCACTGATGGGCCAGTGAGTGAGGAGAGCTGGCTTGAGGGTTGCTGGAGGGACTCACCTCTGGAATCAAATCAGCAGTGACCAGCCTGCCAGCGGAGGAGCCCCCTGCTGCTAATCCTCAGCTCAGGATATGGCACAGAGCTGACCTGTTTCTGCCAGCGGGTCATGTGATGGAAGCTTGGGTAATGGAGAGGGAGGGGAGCAGAGCCTTCTGGAAAACCAGGAGGACATTTCCCCATCACAAGCCACTTCTTGGAACAAAGCTGGTTTACTGGGTGCTGGGTCTTTGTTCCAAGCCACTTCCTGGAACAGAGCTGGTTTACTGGGTGAACACGTTGGGGAGTTGGGTCCTTGTCCCTTCTTGCGCCTCTAACCCTGGGGGCAGGTCAGCACTGGGCATTTGGGAACTGCAGAAGCCACGCCCTGAAACAAACTACCTGTTTGCACTGAGTGCTCTCTCCAGCAGCTCAGACTGCAGTGCCTGCCCTGGCTGCACTTCAGAACCAACAAGGGAGCTTCGTAAGCCCAAGGCCCATTGGGTAGGGTCTCTGGGGATGGTGCAGGAGATGCCACTATGCAGCCAGGGTTGGGTCCCCTGGTGTGAAGCGACTGCTTCAGAATACTTGCAGGACATTACTTTGTACCTCTGAGATCACGTTTGTTTACCCTTCTCCTTGCAAAGAGGTAGAAACGTCATCACCGATGAGGACAGGTCCTTGTCAGCGTGAGCAGAGAGAGCCATAGCGAACCAGACCCCTTCCAACCCTCCACCCTGGCCGAATTCTCACTCCACAAGCACCAAGTGTAACATCTGCGAACCCTCTTTTTGTACAGTGAACTGCTTGGATCAGCATGTTCAGAAGTCCCCCGAGAGCGTCGCTTTGATCTGGGAGCGCGACGAGCCTGGGACTGAAGTGAGGATCACCTACAGGTACCGTGAGCCCTCGTGGCCTCCACGCCTGGTGGCAGCCTGGGCCTTCCCCTCTGTTTGGGGACAACTTACCAAACACCCGTGTTGGGCCCATTGACAGAGCAGGGTTACCGGGCTTGGATGGGGCCCTGGCCTTTGTGTTCACTTTGGCGGCCCTCAGGGTCTTTAGATTCTCACTGAAGGAATGGGGTCTTCTGAAACCAGCATCAGGAATGTTCAAGGTGTGAGGGAGGGGCCTGTGTGCTGAGTCTGGCTGCCGGGGAGGGGCTGTCTGAGTCTCAGGGGGCGCATTTGGCTTTGGAAACGCTCTTATCCGGGAAAAGTGACGTGAACACAGCAGAATGAGACAGTGAAAGCCGGTCCAGCCTGCCTGGCCACACTCTCAGCGCCTTCGGAGGGTGGGACAATAAATAAAATCGTCTTCGGAAGAGCTTTTTGTTTTTAAGCTGAGTGTTTTAGTCTTTGATTCCCTAAGCAGCTTCTAGGTGCCCAGCATGCGTCTGAAGGTGCTGTGTGTACTGGCCTCCCCCAGTCCGCTTCCTGTCGGGGCTGCTGTGTCGGTCAGCACCTTGGTTCTCCATGCAAGACCCCTTTGCCTGAGGCTCACCTTACCCTTACAGAGATGCCTCAGGCCCACTGTGCATCTAAACTGTGAGTTCCTAGGTACCCATTGCACACAATCGCCGAGCGTGATTATTCTCCTGGAGGCGGCTCCAGGCTCTTCTTGTCCAATCACTCAGCAGGTCTTCACTGGGTGCCTTCACGTCAGTGTGGGTTGGGTTGGGGTATGTTGCAGTAACAAACAATCCCCAAGCACACGGCAGAGCATAGCTGGGTGGCCACTGTGAGCTGCATAGTCAGGAAGGCCTCTTGGAGGAGGTGACGTTTCAGCTGAGGTCCTGTGGACCAAGATGAACAGCCCTGAGGAGACAGGGGCAGATCTGGGGCGGGGGTCCCGAAGCAGTGAGGAGGTGCATGTGGCTGGGAAACAGGAGTGAGGGGACGTGGAGGAGGAGCATTCGGACAGGCAGGTCTGCACTGGGCGGCCTGAGAGCAGTGGTCACTGACCTGCCACTTGGTGACTTGGGGGGTGACGAGGCACTTGTAGTTTCCTGTTCTTTTCTTGAACTCCAATTTTATCACAGACCAAATTCACCAAACTTTCTAAAACTGCTCACGTTGACGTTTGGATGCAGACGAGTGATGCCAGTGGATCTGCTGCAGCTCCTGGTGGGCCTGTCCTGCTTGTCCCTCCCCCAGACCCCAGGTGCCCTCAGGCCCATCACAGCCTGTCCTGCTTGTCCCTCCCCCAGACCCCAGGTGCCTTCAGGCCCATCACAGCCTGTCCTGCTTGTCCCTCCCCCAGACCCCAGGCGCCCTCAGGCCCATCACAGCCTCCACCAGCCTTGGCCACGGCTCCTTCAGCCAATACAGCATCCATTTCTTATGTCCAGTCCCTGGTTGCAGACACGGTGTGGCCCACAGACCAACAGTATTCTGCTGCCTGGGAGCCTCGGGCCCCATTGGACAACTGAGCGGGCCCCCAGGTGGCCCCTTGGCACTGGAGTGCAGGGGGCTCTGAAAACCCAGGCTGCTGCAGCTGCTCCTTGCCACAGTGGGCCCAGCTCCATTCACCTGTGAACAAACCTCCTTCTGAGAAGGAACTTGAGGCTGCTGCCCGGGGAGTTGCTCTTCAGTAAAAGATGAAAACCCTCTCTTAGGGGGTGGGGTGGAAGGAGCCAACTGGACACGTGGAGGTCCAGCAGGGAGGGCCCAGCCATGGCACTCCCCAAGTGCCTCCATCAGTCTCTCAGGGGTGCCTGGACCCTGGGGCAGGTGGGCTGTGCGCAACGCCCCCTTGGCTGGACACTGCCTGTGGGCATGCTGAGTGCCTGCTAAACAGTGGTTCAGTCCGTGAACAGGGCTGGAGGCCTGTGGAGATGTGCGGTTAAACATAAACCATGTGAGAATTCTCAGGACCACAGCCAGCCTGTGGAAGTTAAGAGCAGCGTCAGGTTCATGGCACTGAAATGGCCCTGGCAAAATACTTATTATTCCATCTATAAAAATAAACAGGGCCAGTCGTGGTGGCTCATGCCTGCAATCCCAGCACTTTGGGACACCGTGACGGGCAGATCACTTGAGGTCAGGAGTTCGAGACCAACCTGGCCAACATGGTGAAACCCTGTCTCTACTAAAAATACAAAAATTAGCTGGGTGTAGTGACATGTGCCTGTAGTCTCAGCTACTTGGGAAGCTGAGGCAGGAGAATCACCTTAACCTGGAGGCGGAGATTGTAGTGAGCCAGGATTGCACCACTGCACTCCATCCTGGGCGAAAGAGGCGGACTCCATCTCAAAAATAAAAATAAACATGTCGTCCAAAATGTTTCTATAGACCTCCAGGTAACTTATTTCTATTTACTGTTTGAGTGAAAAGTGTTACCTGTAATCGCAGCTTGAGGATGTGAGGTCCTTGTCCTGGTCATGTGAGGTTTCTGATGTGAGGTTTTCTTTTTCTCTTCTCTGAGGAAAGTTCCCAGACATTGGTGCTGGTTGTCCTGCTGGCAGACACGCCACTGCCACTGAACACAATGCTTTCCTGCCCACGGGCCTCGTGCGGTGGCCTCCAAGGTGTCCAGGACGGTCACAGTCCTCCTTGGCTGGAAGATCAATGTTCAGACTTGCAACCTGTGCCCTTTAAAGAAACCCTGTGGGGCTGGTAGAGGTAGGGACACTGGTAGCGATGCAGGAAGCTTGCAGGTGGCCGGGAAGTCTGTGTTACAATCCCAGCTGACCCGGCGAGGGGAACCTCGCAACTCTCACCCCTACTGTGACCTTATGCACAGGTGACACCGGGTCAGCACAGGCAGATGCAGCCCTGGGAAACCTCCCGACTCTCACCCCTCCATGACCTTACGCACAGGTGACTCTGGGTCAGCACAGGCAGAGGCAGCCCTGGGAAACCTCGCAACTCTCACCCCCACCATGACCTTATGCACAGGTGGCACCGGGTCAGCACAGGCAGATGCAGCCCTGGGACGGGTGCCCATGGCCTTTGCCCTGCAAGTGCCAGCTTCCCCAGGTCCTCGGGGGTACAGGGTCAGCAGAAAGAGGCATGTTCTAGTTCTAGTTCAGTTCCTGCTGCTGGCCGGTGACACTGCAGCTCCAGAGTCTCCCAGGATGGCACTTTCCCATCTGTACATCCCGGGTAATTATCGTAACGTAGATGACTGCAGTGTCAGCCCAGGGAGATGACAGCCTGAATGCAGTGGCAAGTAAGAATAGCTGCTGTTGATTGAGGACTCGCTAGGTTCCAGAACTGTTTTCAGCGTCGTAACTGGGCAGTGAGGTTGGGCCCCGTGCTGCCGGCTGGCTGCAGGGCTTGGGAAGGAGGAGCCCCTCTCCTGCCGAGGTTTTGCCACGCTTGCTCATAAGTGCGGTGCTCACTTCCCACTGGGAGGCGAAGGGCTCAGCCTGGGACGTCTGCTCCCTGGGGCCAGGGTCCCAGCTCCATTCCCAGCCTTCCTCTGCCCTGAGCCAGCTGAGGCAGCCCTTCTACCATGAAGAAGAAGGCCACAAGCCCAGAGCAGAACAGTGCCTGCTGGAAGCTGCGGGGCCAGACAGCACTCTGGGCAGTCAGTGGCTCCTTCTGGCTTCTACCTGTGCTTCTCTAGCAGGTGCCCATTTTATTTTATTTTAATTTATTTGTTTTGGAGACGGGGCCTCAAAAACATCACCCAGGCTGGAGCGTTGTGGTGCTGTCACAACTCACTGTAGCTTCAACCTCCTGGGCTCAAGTGATTCTCCTGCCTCAGTCTCCCCAGTAGCTGGGACTATAGATGTGTGCCACCAAGCCTGGCGACATTTTTTATTTTCTGTAGAGATGGGGTCTCACTATGCTGCCCAGGTCAGTCTGGACCTCTGGGCTGGAGTGATCTGCCTACCTTGGCCTCTCAAGTGCTGGGATTGCATGAGCTACCGTGCCCCAGTGCCTTCCTCTGCCCTGTTTTAGAAGATCGTCCTTCACATAGTAGTTCACATGGGCAGGTTCTAGAGACCGTGGGGGGTGGCCCTGTGGAGAAATGTTAAGTTCCTCTCTTTTGGAGAGGCAGTGGTGGTCCAGGTAGATGAATGAGGCTTTGAGACTGCCTAGCTGGTGTGCTTCTCCCTGCCTGGAGCCTGGGGCAGGAATTTCCAGGCTGGGGTTGGACAAGGCCCTGTGCAGGTCCAGATCTTCTCAGCCAGTAGGTGTGCCCCATACAGAGGAGAGACCAGGCTGTGGGTGCCAGGCTGTGGGTGCTTGGGAAGGCTCTGAATCAGTGAACCTCTTCTCTGAGGGTCTCTGCAGCGGGGGTGGTGGGGTCGGGGCGGGGGGACTTGAACTTGAGCTCAAATGAGAGCGTCTTAAGCCAGAGGACCAGGTTTTAGCTCTGGCTTATTCCATGGCCTTAGAGCTATCCTTCTGGGCCTTCCCGTCCTCATTTGTAAAAGGAGGGATTTAATGACCCCAGGGTTCCAGCGCTGGTCGGCATGTGTGAAACACAGAGGGGCAGAGCTGGGCCCCGAGTGTGTGTGGAAGCACAGGCATCAGCACTGGTCTGGGAGCTGCTCCCCTGCGGAGACTCCCGCTGGTGGGTGGTTCCTGTGGCTGCTCCATCCTCGACTTTTTATTGGGTGGGGTTGTGACAGTGAGAAACCCTGATCAGAGGAGCAGAGGGGATGTCAATGTCAGGCCTCCCCCACCCCCTGCCTCAGAGTCCCCGGGCGCTGAGAGAAGGCTTTCTCGCTGGGCGTGCTGGGATGGGAATGGGGCTCTACTGCGAATCTGTGTAGCTGGCACCTGATGTGGAGGCCCGAAGGGCTGTGCAGGACGGGGCCTGGTTGTTCCCCCTAGGGAGAGGGAGCTGCCACACACTTTGGCTGTGGTGGGGTGGGGACTGAGCCTGGGGCCACCTCTCTGAGAGGCTTGTTTCTGTCCTTGGCCCTGGATGTCTTTGA